TCACATTAGCAACAACCGGGTCACAGTGTCTCTGGGATAAGATTTCTTCAATTAAATTCCAGTAGGAAAAGGCCATAACTGGTGTTACAGGTAGCCAAATTAGATAGAAATATTAATAGGCAGTCAGACAGGGAAAGGCCCTTGAAGGAGACAGCACAAAAGACAAGTTATCTTGTAACTGTGAGAGGGGTGGATGCTCCTGCTGTGAGCCAGACCTAAAAGACTGAAAGGCCAAACAAATGCTAAAAGAGTAGCACCTGGGATTGATTTTCTAAATAGGTATCCATAACCTAAAAAGACCTAAGTGAGTCATCAGCACAGCCCCCATTTGGCCCTGGGTGTAATCAACTTTACCTGAGCAATGTTGCTTGCAATCCCATTGGTTGACCATAGTTTTATCCCACCCCACATCCAACTAAGCAAGACCTCTTCCTCTCACCCATCTGGCTCAGCCCTTCCTCTCACCCCAAAGCCTTTGCCTTGGGCAGCCAGGGATGGTGCTGCCGCCTCTTCCTCTCTACCTTAACCCTGCATGGTTTTGCTCTATAAAAATAAACTTAAAGAGACATCTTCCTGGGCAACCCGCTCGGGTCCCCCTTTCTGTCCTCTCTGAGACAGAAGCCTTTCTTCCCAATCAAACATTTTACTCTCAACCTCCGTTTGTTCCCAAAATCCACCCCTCAGTTTTAGAGAATACGAAATCTGGAGTTTTACTTCCCTGTATCACTGGGACCTTTTTAGGTCCAAAAGTCCCATAATAATCCTTAATTTTAACCTTTACTCCTCACGCCTTTAATGCTTTACTCAAACTTTCTACAAATATCTCATTCACATAATGCCTGTCCATTGTCAAGGGAAAGGGGAAAGGAGTGCCGTCCACTTAAGGAGGTTCAGATGTTGCAGCAGGCATCTGTGGCGCACAGGCCTCTTTTATTCTCTCTTTTGCCTCTTTCTTTCTTGTCGGCTCTCTCTTTTACTGACTTTCTCTTGTGTGCGCTCTCTCTGACGGTTCAGTCACTGTATCCTCCATACCAGATGCCCCACTTGCTGGGTACCACTTGTCCTGAACCAGTGGGTCAGTCAATGAAGGTCACCTGGGGGAGGAGCCAGGAATTGAAGAGGGGACAAAGGACAGGAGACACGAGAAATGAAGACATGTCAAGACTCTGATCAAGTCCCATTTATTCAGGGGAGGTGCTGGGTATTTATAGGGGGTGTAGGAATGAGGAAGTCTCGGCTTTTGGGGTCAGCAGGTATCTACGCAACAGGAAGGTGCAATGCCTTGGGCATAGCACGTCATTCACGGGGAATGGGCAAGGTGAAAAGGGCCATAAACTTAACTCAGCAGTGGAATAGAATGGATACTGGTTAATGGCCTCCCACAAGCAACTGCACTTCAGATGGTAATCTGTAATAATAGGTTCATGCTTGGAGTTCTTGTCTTTCTGGGCTTCTGAGTATGGGCTGCTTGTTATACATGCCAGTTGGTTCTGTGCTGTCTCTTAGGTAGATGATTGTTCAAAGAGAAGGTGGTGGTGAATGAAGGGAAGAGACTGGAAAAATTATGTTGTGGGACTGTCCTGCTTCAAGGTTGTATACGGTTAGATATTTGGATTTATGTGTAAACA